ATGTGTATATATACATACATGCATGCATACGTACATACATACATACATACATACATACATACATACATACATACATAAATATATATATATATATATATGTATATGTGTATATATATATGTATGTATGTATGTATGTATGCATGTATGTATGTATATATGTATGTATGTATGCGTATATGCATATGAATACGTGTACTGATGTTTTATGGTTTTATGTGTTTGCTTGTTTTATGGTTTCATGTACTTGCTTGTACGTAAGTACGTACATATATATATATATGTACAACCATATATATATATATGCACACATGCATAGATACATAGGCGAATATCCCATATTGTTTGTACATGTGTGCATGTGTCTCAAATGACGGACTCGCTCTCTCTCTCCCTCTATAGCTCTTTTTGTTGTTCTCCTGTCTCGCTCCGTCTCTGTGTGTATATGCCTATACGCACATGTGTGTGTATATATATATATATAATGTATCGAGATAAATTGATACGGCAGACTATGCCAGGTCTTGAGTTTAAGGTTTCTATGCCAGGCCGAGCCGCCGCCGCCAGACATTTGAGGGGCGCCCTCTCGGCAGTTTCATGGCGAGGGAGGCGCACAAAGGCTTGTGTCACCATAGTTTTCACCCGAAGCTCGGAAGAGATACCTATGACCCACCCACTCCTCAGCCCGCAGCACACCCTGTATGAGGCAAAGAGGCCAAGAGAGGTTTCGACCCAAGATGACATCAAGCATCGCATGTCCGTTAGGTATGACTAGTTGTTATCACTGTTACGAACATGCCAACATACTCATGCAATGAATCATACACCGTAGAGAAGTTTGACCGTGCAGTCTCGGATTAGCGTCTGCTGTTGAATGGTGTGCGTAGCTAGCGGATCACCGTGTCACCTCGTGCCCAGAGGTAAAGGCACAGCAAATGCCGGAGTTGCTGGAAGCGTAGGATGTCGGCATGCTCCGGCACGAAGCGGAGCACCAGCATACTCCCTTCATCTTGCGCTGAAAATCAGCAGCAAGCCGTGTTGCACCCAGAGGAAACCAAAAAGGATCACTCGTAACTATGCTGGCCGCCTGTTGAACGAAGCAAGCAACGACGAAAAGATGATAAGGACCAGACAGGATGGTACTGATCACACTGCAGAGCATTTTGTGATCTTGCCGTATAGCAGGATCCCTTCACTTTTCAATGCCGGCAGAAGCATCAGTAGCTCGCGAGCCCTCTAAGTTTCGCGTGGAGTAAGCCGAAATAAAGAGGGCAGGCGAGATGAGATCTAAAGCATTCAGAAAGTAAGGTGCATGAAATATAGAAGGACAGGGCCCGGAACCAAGGCCGCTACTGTGAAGGAAGAGGATCTGCTTGGTCCAGCGACGGGAGCTGATCAGCGCTAGAACCGGCTGTCTCGTCGGCGCTCTTTAGACCGAATGCCCTTAGAGCCATTTCTGGTTCACTGATGCCAAGGACTGTCCAGGACCTTTACGAGTGATATGCACGCTAACTAGCTTACGAGTGATATGCACGCTAACTAGCAGCCACCAGTGCATCCAAAGGATCAAGACACCCGAACTGAAGCATCCGACACCAAGCAATGCGATTAGCCTGCGAATTAAAACGGTTAGTAAAGAAGATCTCGGGTCAACGGCACCTTTTCAGAAGTCAATCACTGCGAGAAGTCTTTCGTCAACAAGACAGCACAAGTCTAAAAGCGGGAGCCCCGAAGCCTTCCAAGCCTCTATAACGAGTCCACGTCAGCCCCCTAGCTTTGAGCCGGGAGCCCTGCATCCTGTGGCCATGATCATTTTATTTTGGCTGGTCCGTACTTCAAGCTTTGTCTTTAGGGGTTCCGGGTTGAGGGTCTGAAAGTGTCTCCCGCCGGCTACCGCTGCGCTGATGGATCAGTGGCGAGCCGTGGGATTGAATGCCAGGTGCCATGGGGTTAGGGTTACCTGATCGGCTTTCTTTCGGAACTCTCACGCAGAGGCCCCGATAGACCCCGGATAACCTAAGACTGGACGCTACAAATCTCAAGCCAGCATAATTCGCTTTCAATTGCCCTAACTATATCTGAACAGACTGGTCAGTCTGCCGGCAACAGGCTCCGATTCATCTAAACCTAAACCCTTTGAACCCTGAGCCCTAAAGCATAAACCCCACACCCGACCCCTAAACCCTAAGCCCTTAGCCATAAACCCTAAACCCGACCCCTAAACCCTAAACCCTGAACCCTAAACCCGACCCCTAAACCCTAAACCCTGAACCCTAAACCCTAAACCCTAAACCCTTAGACCCTAAACCCTAAACCCTGAACCTTAACCTTCAAAGGTGAGCAAGTGGATGCAAGTCAATCTGAAACCTGGGCCTGGGCCTCAAAGGCGTATCGCAAGGCGGCTTTGAGGCTTGGGGGCCTAGTTATTATAATATGAGATAGTATAAGATAGTGTAATAGTATAATATTGTATAGTATTGCATACTATACTATAACATAGTAGAATATAGGATAATATAGTATAATATAACATACCATACCATAATGCAGTTTGACTAGAGGTCAGGATGTAGCCCTGAAGAGCTCAGGGCTGAAGGCCCTGAGGGTATTAAGGGCTCTAGAACCAGGGCCGAAGATTAAGGACGAACTGTCATTGCGGCTTCCTGTTCCTGATGATGACATGATGTTGTGGCTGATGTTATGGATATGATCACTGTCTACAACCCTAAACCCTAAACCCTAAATCCTAAACCCTAAACCCTCAACCCTTGGTGTTCAAGTTTCGGGACGAGGTTACGTCTGCAGACTGTGGATCTCCCTTGAACCGAGGCGTCTCGAAACATAGAACCCTTGCCCAGAGGCTCCATATATACTACCATTATGGAATTAGGTCCCTAAATCCATAATAAATATGGTCTTTTGGGACTTACTTCCATAATGGTAGTATCTATGGAGCCTCTAGGTTGTCGAACCCTCAGAGAATCCCTTGCATTAATCTATAGGTACTATAGGGCCTAAGAGCCCGTACGACTCCGAACCACGATTCACTGAATTCGTAAAGCCTAGACCCCAGAAACTCAGGCGCATTGTGGATTCCTGACAGGGTGGACACAAAAAGGCGCTCAGGCAAGGACAACTCAAGCAGTACGTAAGCCGCCACAGTTGCCCCGAGCCTCAAACCCCACATTGCCCCTGAGCCTTTGAACACCTTGGGCCTCCAGACGTATCAGTTTCGATTCTAAGCTTATGGAATGTTTAGGGCTTTAGGGCCAGTTGTTTATGGTTTAGTGGCTTTAGGGTGAGGTACCAGATGCTCGGAATTTAGGCCTCGAGTCAGGGAAAAGGTATCTCAAGGCGTGACTCCCGCGCAAGCCTCCGACGATGTAACTCTGAAGGACGGAAGCTTCTTGCGCAAAGCCCTTTGAAAATCCATCGGCCCCGAAAGCAAGCAGCCCTAAAGGCTTAAGCCTGCCCCATTCCGAGGCAAGGGTATGGGATGAGCTTCGATCCCAGCAGTCACTGGCCTGCCCTCCCATGGTTCAGTCCATCGGACTAAGCTTTAAGACTTTAAGATACGAGATCCACAGGAGGCCCAGCTGAGACCCACTGTGAAGTTGTGGGTTGAGGGGTTGCCTCAGAGACTGTGCGGCTTAGCGATGAAGGGCTTCTGAACCCCTGGGCTCTGTTCATTGCCTGACTGGCCTTCTCCTCCTTTCGAGTTTCATGTTCTGTGTGTAGCAAACCTAAACCCTACACCTAAGCCCTAAACCCTACACCCTAAACCCTAATTCCAGACTTCACATCTTCAACAACCCGTGGTCGAATTGTCGAGCTGCGAGTGCCCACGTCCCCTTGTTAATGCCGGCATGTTGCTGTGCTTTCACGTGCATTGGTTGTTACCAGTATTTGGGTCATTAAGGCTATTGTTGTCGTTGTCATGGTGACGATTATTATCGTGGTTGGTTATTGTTATGATTGGTTGTTGTTACATCTCCTTCATATGCTGTACGACCATTGTCGTTAGATTTTTCATTATTGCATGAGTATTGTTGTTACTGATACTGGTGTCAGTAGTATCAGTGTTCGTCTTGAGATCGTTATCTGTTGTTGTTCCGCCAGGCCTCCGTCATCAATGACCCCCTTCGTGGCAGCCGCCTTTTGCGTGGACAGCTGGGGACCCAGAACGGAAAATGCTCCGCAGGCTTCAAACATGAGCGTACTGACAAAGACGTCAGCTTTGACTTGCCACCATGGGATCAGCGTTAGCTCGGCTGGCTTATCGTGATCTCCGGGCTCTAGTCAACTCTAGTCCTTGTAAGCCCTAGCCCGAAACACCCTAAACCGTGCAGCACTTGTTCAAGACTTGGGGTTATTGAAAGCCTCGAGGTACAAAGCCTCGAGTCCTTGACCGATCCCAGAGCCGTAATTGAAACAAGTCCCACTGAGCTCTTGAGCGGCTTAGCGGGTCCAGAACGCTGGGGCTTTCGACGCAAAGCTTGAAAGGGGCCAACCGTGCATATCCCAACAGGATGTAGGAGCTTGAAATGAACAATTAACCGTGGCGCGGACTCCGGACAGACAAATGAAATGCAAGCTAAAGGCCCCCCTAGCCGGATACCGTTAACTCCTCCAGCTTCAGGTGGGAGGGGCTTGGGGAGTTCGTCGAGACTGTTCGGGAGAGCGCTTCTCGGTGGCAGGAAGCACGTGGCTACAAGTACTGTACAACTGTTGTGTTATGTGTGCGCGTGTCTAGGTACGCACATGCAGGTTTGTGTATAAGACTTACACTTATGCATACACTTGTATTATACTTGTATCATGGTGTTACACCTGTCCCCGAAATTATTGGGGTTCTTTCCTATGGCGCGATGCAAGATGACATGCTGATTCGGAATAGCATTTGCGGCAAAACGTTGGGAATATTAAGCTTGCAGTGGGTATTGACAGGAATTGGCACTATTGCCATAGCTTGAGAAATCTGAAAAGGTTTTCCTACCAGCATCATGAATACTCATGAATACTCTGAACGCTGAGCTCTGTGGAACATTCTGAACCGCATGAGACGGTTCTGCCAGTAAGTATCAGTGACAGGCATTTTAAAAATGACACATGTACTGACGCCGATATAGACGTGGTGCGATTCTTGATTGAGGCATTATGAACGTGTGTTTTGGTTGCAGGATGTTGCGAAGGTAGCCAAGCTACAACAGATGCGCTTGATGCTTTGATCTCTGCAAGAGTGGCAGCTGCGTCGGAATACTTATCACCTATACAGTTCCCTAAGGGTCCATGTACCCAAATATGTAGTCCCTATATGGGTACTTTAGGGCCAATGTTCTACTATTTGGGTACATGGACCCTTAGGGGTTGGTAAGTTGCGCACACATAAGCAAACCTCTGACAATACATGCAATACCGTAGTAATACTGGTATCGCCACTGTACATTCTGGACATCCTTGTTGCTACGGTGACGATCAAGATCAGTGATTACACGAGTACCTGGTGTCAACACATGCAACAGTATCGCCACCAGACACCATATCATTTCTTTTAGTAGCATGATGTGGCCGATACTGTGAACATGTTCCATGTTTGCAAGAGATATGGTGACAGCAGGTTACATCTTTGCACCATGTCTCTTGAAGATGGTGTCGCCTCGACAGTCCCTTGCCGCCGACGCTCATACCTTATGAGGCGGCAATAGTTCGGAACAGGAATATGCTTCGGATTCGACTGCGCCTGGCAGGCACTGTGAGGACGCTGATGGTGGCCCAACAGAATGCCGAGCGGGTATCGCATCACCATCACCATGGTCATGGCATCATCATCACCACTATTATTATCCTCCTCCTAATCATCATCAACGACTTCCACGTTCATCTTCACCACCATCATCATCATGACCATCAGCGTCAATATATTCACCTCATTCCTTGCATTCTGCGACGTGTGCTGGTCATCTTCCCAGGATGCCAACACCATGAATATGCCACTGCACATGCCATCTCAATCTTCACAGATCCTGGCAAATCGACGCTTACAAGCACTGCAAACCGTATCAAGACTGCACATGAGCCCCAAACTCAGAAGTCCCCTAGATAAGCTGCAAACCCCACCGTGAATACCGGTGTGCTGGAACTTCGAGGTTGGCGAGTTGAACGATCAGCGCGATGATGCCGTTGGCTCAGTGCCACGAGCGCCTTCATGTTTGAGTTTCGGCTTTCGGTTCAAAGGCAGGCCTTGGGGTATGTTCCACTAGCGTCGTCGTGCTCACCGTCATCGTCATCGTTGGTAGTAGCCCAGGTACAGTAGCAGGAGTAGTAGCAGTAGTACTAGTAACATTCCTGCCGGTGGTCTTGCTTTAGACTTTAGACACATGTTGGTGGTTGAAAACAGCCATCAGAATTTGTGGTACTTAATTGTTTGTGGAATGCTGCCAAACGCATGGGTTTCGTATGCCAAACTCGACACCTTTTGATCTTTGCCGTCTTGTGGCGAAACACCACGCCTGCCTCTGTGTTGTGCATGTTCCGGGTTGTTTTCGGGGCGCACAAATTTTGATGTGTAGAGACAGTTTACAATGTTGGCGTTTGTCGTTGTCTTTGTTCTTGGGTGGTGATGTTGTTGTTGCTGGTGTTGCTGCTGTTGTCGTTGCTGCAGTTGTGTAGGGGCGATGGATTCTTGGACTTCTTCCTCTAGTGGTGACCCAATTGTAATCATGAGAGGTTTGGTACTACCGTAGTCATAGCAGTCATAGGGCAGTCATAGTAGTCATGCCCACCATAGCCATCATCAGAATCATCGTTATAACCGTCATCATCATCACCACTGTCGTATTAACAATCATCATCACCATAACCGTCATGATCAGCATCACCAGCGCTATCATCATAAGCATCATCGTCAGCATCAGTATGATGATCATCATCAGCATCGTCATCGTCAGGTTCCCCCCCCCAAGCAACTGCCTGAACGCTGAACGCGCATCCCAAGCCCGCCAATTGCTGAGAAGAGACAGCGGGGTCTCGTTATCATAGACGGTTCGATCACCAGCGTTTTGCTGGACAGTTATTGGACCCGTCAGCTAGCACTGCTATCACTGGTACTAGTTCTAATGCAAATGCTTGTATACTAGTACTAGGGTTGCACAGAACCGGAGGCAACAGCGATTTGGTTGTTTCGGACTTTTTGTTCCAGAATAAGCGTAATACACGAGTCATTACAACTGACTTCTTTGCTTTCGGAAGTTTTTGCCGACGTGCTTGCCGACTGACTCAGCTAGCCTTCTGCGCTTGCCCGCTGGTACACTTACTCCTTCGCTGATTCAAGCTGGTTGCGCAACCGCCCTAAAGCCCTCGACCCGAAAGCGCTTGACCTCTCGACGAGACCTCTAATCCTCAACGCGAAAGCCTGTATTATAATGCCATGTAATAAACCCGAAGCGCTGAATACTAAACCAGAGTTCTTATACTACCTACACTCAAACCCTTTCACAGTCTAGTATGCCTAGTCAACGCCTGTAATGCCCTTATGAGACCTCCCGGGACCCCATAAACCATTCTGCGCACTCAGGGCGCAATTGATCCCGCTACGGTCGCGCGCCGAAGCCCCAGGGATCACCCTCAGTTGGGCTTCGCGGCCTTGATGAAATCGTCCATGTTTCGGGTCTTGGGCTGCTTAAGGGTTGAGCGTTTGGGGTTCTAGGTTTTGGTTTATTTGAGGGCTTGGGCTTCATAGAGGTTTTGGGGGCTCTGGGGGCCTGAGGCTGTGATAGGGTTAGCGTTTGGGTTTTAGGGGTTTAAGGGTTCAGGCTTTGGTTTATTGGGTGTGCTCTGCGAACCTGACTGAGATTCCCCATTGCTCCGACCGGTTTCTGAATGAGCCCCCTGTTGCTCTGGGGATATGGGGCATATGGGGCTTCTTCGTGAGGTTGCTACATCAGCTCATGATGGATCACAGTGGTTCGATGATGAGGGGCACTGCAATCAATCGCTAAGACTGACTATTGCAGCTACGACATGTCAAAGTACTTTTTCGTTTCCCATTGCTACTACGGGGTTACTAAACATGGTTCGACAAGCTGCGACCGCAACAACACCTCCAGATCCAGCAGCATCAGCAGCAGCAGCAGCAGCAGCAGCGGCAGCAGCGGCAGTGGCGGCGGCAAAACACCAGCAGCAGAACCGAATGAAAAAGAAGCAGCAGCAGCAGCAGCAGCAGCAGCAGCAGCAACTGTAAAGGCAATAGCGACATCAGCATCAACAGCAGCAACAACAGCAGCTGCTGCAGCGACTGTAACAGCCGCAACAGCACCAACCACGGCAACCGCGACCGCGACCGCGACCACGACCACGACCACCAACGCGACCGCGACAACCACTGCCACCACCGCCACCGCAACAACAACCACAGCAACGACGACAACAACAACAACAATAACAGTGGCAACAGCAGCCGCAACAACGGCAGCAGCAACAAGAGCAACAGCAACAATAGCAACAGCAACAGCAACAGCAACAGCAACAGAGCCACAGCGACAGCAACATCAACAACAACTGCAATCGCAACAGCAACAGATTACATGGCCGCTTTTGATCTTTACTCCCCATTCGGCATAAGACTTACTATCCAAGGTCTGCCAGTCTACCATAAACTCGAAAAAGCCCTTAACCTTACCATAAACTCGAAAAAGCCCTTAACCTTAAACTTGCCTGAATATCTGAACCTTCCAATTCTGCAGCTCTGAGCCGTAAGCCCTAGATCCCCGTCAGACTAGGGGTCTAAGGCTTCATGGGAAGTAGTGAACATGTCCCCTTATAGTTCCGAAAATACGTATATGAAACCCGAAATCCTCAAAGTACCCTTTTGCACGTTCCAAAAGAAGCTTTTGATGGGGAACTCTTGACGGAAGCCTTAAAGCAGCCCTACATTGCCCTACATGCTACTCCAACCACAAGGCATCGATGAGCTCATCGGTCAGGTCCCCGAGGTCGCTGAGTTCACGTCAAGCGCCCAGAGAGAGCTACCGGGGAGGGGTTCAGGTGTTGGAATTTCATGCAGGGACCTCAATAACTAGAATAGTATAATATACCCCCAAACCCTTTCTAATTATTATTACTGAGGCTCCTTTTTGGCCTCGGGAATTTGTCTTCTGTTACCTCTTGGAGGACTCTTTGCTGCTTGTTACATGGTCGTCATCATTATGCCAAGCGGGAAAAGCGCGCGAAGTCTTCCCAGGTAGAGTAGTGACGCAGTTCCTTTTGATATCCCAGAATTGCTTGGCTGTAAGTCTACCAGCATTCATGCGAAAACTCCCAGCGGACAACGCCTTCAGCGAGCATCGAACACACCGGCTGGACTCGACAAACTAACGGCTTGGCTGAAGACGCTGGATGCTTACCTAGGACCTAGGCTCGCCCTGAATTTCGGCGCCATTTCCGTGCTGCATGGGCCCCCGACGGAGATACTCTGCAGCTGCTTCAAGGCCTTATCTGGAGACCTTCACGGAAGAGTGGGAAGTGTACTACAAGCGGGGCACCCGGAGCCGAGACATCATTTGATGAACCTTCAACGTCAACAAAACTATGAATTTGATACATGGTTCCCTGCAAATTTGCACACGCTGTTCAGCGATCTGTTTCGTGTTGCAAGTAGCTCGGTCTCGGACGTGAAACGAAGCAGGGTTCGTTCGTCCTTGCTACAAGCACCGTTTGCTCTTCATTCTGATTCGCAAGACGAAGTTCAAGTCAGAACATGGCCATCACGGCGACCGTGTAGCCGCGTGGCTTTCTACACGAGATTTCCTAAGGAATCATCGCCGCTTGCACCGCCGGGGACAGCATCAGCTGCTACGCGCGCAGGCATCGCATGTCCCCGTTCTGTCTGGTTGAGCTGTGTGTTCGATGTTTGAATTCCCTGGAAACCACCTACCAGCCAAACACTCATACTAAACTTATGCAGGCTCGGTTCATTTTTTTGCGGGAGTCGAGGGCATGCAGCTATATGCAGCTGACTGAGTGAGAAGATCCAAGCATTCGGACTGCAGCCCAACAGACTGTAGACTAGTTTCCCCCCCCCTTCCCCCCAGAACTCCCACAACTCATGCACCTGCCTGTCTGACCTTCTAGCGGGCTCTCTCCTTCCGTTTGTAAGGCAACTTGGCGAGATCTCAAGACTAAATCTGCATCCATCCAGCGATGAATGCATGCAGTGGCCCATCTACTTTCCTGCCTCCCTGAACCCTGAAGCGCAGGGTTCCTCCAAAAGCGGTCTCCCAGAGGACTGTGGCTCCCATTCAGGTTCGTATTCGAGAATTTCGGCAGGATACATTGTTTTGCGTATGTCGTATCCTCAGGCCTTCGAGAAGGTGGTGGCTCGCAGGTTTGCCCTTTAAGGTTGAGTTGAGCCCTTCGCTTGAAGCTTAAGCTTTAAGACTTTAAGAAGCCTTTTTGAGGTCGGTGGATGTTACAAGGTTTGTGTGCTTAGGCGCAGGCTGGGCCGCAGAGGGAACAACGCAAGATGCGAATGCAGTAATAATAGCCAGAACAGTAGTTATAGTAATAGAAATCATCAGCATCATAATCATCATCATGATGGTAATCATACTACGAGTGGTAACTATCGTTAATATTACAGAAGCCTAAACAAGGACTTCTGCTAGACTTACTCGGCTATACCTAACACACTGTCTCCAAAGCTGCTTCCATAGCCCGAGCACCCTATTGTAAATCTAAGTCCCAATCTCTGAGCACTTAACCCCGAAGCCCGAACGCAGATTCGTCATCCAGCCGATAAGTCTGAACACTGAGTCAGCCCCCTCTTTCTCGAAGCCCTCTTCCACGAAGGACGAGGAGAGTGCAGCGCAAGAGGCCGCACTTAATTTGGGTTGGAAGATAATATGGTGAGGGGAAGAGGGCTAGGGTTTGCATGAGTCTGTTGAGTACATCGAAGTTAGGGTCGGATTTGGGCATTCAGGATGCAAGAGATCGGGTCAAAATACAGCTATGGGTGTGCTCAGAACGTGTCTACCAACTCCTAGCGTGCTCACTCGTCGAAGGTTTTGGCCTCGGGTTGTTCGTCGATTTCGTTTTGTGCGCTGGGCTGGTGGTGTACCTTTTTGCGTGTACAGAGAACATGCAAGCTTTATCAGTTGAGGCTTCGCATGGAGCCTGAACCCCTAAACCGTCGCAAACTATTAGCCGGAGTAGCTCGGGCCAAGCTCCCCATGCATGTGGGTAGTTGTCAAATTTATGGTCCCTTTTGGGGTACCCTAAATAATAGGTGCCGTATTATAATATATAAGGACCCAAAAAGGGACCATAATTTTGACAACCACCCATGTCGATTCGCTGACTTTGCAGTCGCCGCTCCCCGAGGCGCACCTCTCCGTGCCTTTGGATTACTTTTCCGACAGCTTCTCCCTGGAGCAGCATCAGATCTTCCGGCAGCGAGAGCCTCAGAGCGGTGTCGCGGGCTTCGGGAGTTGCTCTTTTGGGATTTTGCGTCAGTCCGAGTGGTGTCAGAAGCCCCAACCCGATGCAAAGCAAGACCATCGATGGAATGAGGCCACTGGAAAGCGCCGTGGACATGCAGGAGTACCTGATTTGAAACTGCTTCTCCTACAAACAGAACGGAATACATGGTCGCATTCCTGAAAAGCAAAATATTCGTTGTAACAGCATCATAATTACTACGCACGATAGTTCTGCTGGGCCTCCAGGCCCAAGCAGCTTGCCGTTTCATCAGCGAGAGTTTCATGATTCCTACGCTTCAGGCTTTGTGATTGTGCCGACCTGAAAGCCTTGTGCCGAAAAGTTTGAGCATCATACCAACTCCTTGGATTGGTTCGGACCAGTACATTCCTCTGAAGACCTTGTCCTAGGTTCTTGTGGAATGCCCGTGTTGACGCCATGACATGCACGGCATTTCGGCGATGCACCAGCCGCAATTGCCATCAGGAGGAGATACACTCCCAGCTCTCCGGGACCGACGCTCAGACACTGCAGCGCAATTTAGCAAAAAGGTCGCTCATAGTTACATACATCATATAGCTATATATATATACACATCTACATATATATATATATATATATACTTATATATATATATATATATACATTTATCACATATATCCAAGTGCGGAACTCGCAAACCTCTTGCGGTCTGAGCAGGTACATGGATCTCGTGGAGGCACCTCTTCTCTACTGCGACGGATTTGAATTCAGTTTCACGAAAGTGGTGCGAGCCGTGCTGCCCGTTTCGAAGAGAGCAAATCCGCAGAGAGGCGTCCGTTTCCGTTTGAAAGCCGATGGTGCCAGTAAGCTCGCGGATTTCACGATTCAGGGTTGAAGTTGGTCAAATTTGCTACCCGGAAGGTGTCACTTTTCGAGCACATCCGCAAAGCACAGCCGGGCACTTATTCGCCGGAAGACCGAATGCAAAACCGCAGCTTTGAAGAGTTCGGCTTCAGGGGGGGTTCTTTGTTCCAGAGTCAGCTCACATACCCATAGGCCTCATAGTCATAGTAGTTCCTTCTTGTGGCTTATATTTAGGATCCTATTAGGGAATTCCAAAAAGGAACTACTTCTATGGGGCCTATGGGTAACGCACGTCAAAGGGAGGCCTGACTTTGAGCTAACCCCACAGAGGAACCTGCAGGGAAAGCCCTGCAGCGAGTTGGATGCTAGCGAAGTCATCGGCCACAGTTTGCCTCAATTTCTCGACTCTTGGGTCTTAGACTCCGAACCTGTACTGTAACCCCCAAATCCAAAGACCTCAAGACCCAATTCCATCAACCAGGCACTGTTGTGCCCACACGATCCCATGAGACGAAAGACACATAAGATCGGCACCTCAAGAAAATAGAAGTCTGTGATTCGTTGTACTTCATCTTGTAGTTAATTACATGCGGACTACTAGACAGACTGCTCGTCATTCGGTCTCCTGGAGGTTGATCATGTCCCGTAAGACTGGCAACCAGAAATGCCGTAGTAGCGTTAGTAGTGTTATCAGACGTGAGTGACGCCGATACCCATAGTTACAAGGACTTCGACTTATGATAATAGTAAGAATGAGAGACGTCTCGAGACTACCAATCATGATACATGTATGTGTATGCTTGCCACCCCTCCCGACGGCAGTGCCACCCTAGAGCTTGCTACTTAGAGCCAAGATCATTGCCATGAACCTCCCTGGCATGGCACGACCGAGCAACAAGTCAGCTCTTGAAAGCATCAAGCCTTGTAGCAAACTCTTTAGACACACGCACACACAAACATGCGATGGTATCCCATCCCCTCATGGCACCGTGAATCCTGAGCTCTACTTAACCTACACGCAGAAAAGACTTGCACAAAGCTCCCACCCAGGCGCTATCGACTCTTCGACTCCTTAGCTGACCTCAATGAGCCTTTGCAGCAAGATCTGTGCCTTGGCCATGCTTCTGGGCTCAGTGCGCATGTGCATTCCGGCAAGGTACCTCTTGTAGCAAAGGCATGCTTGCCAGAACAGTTCAGGGTTCAGGGTTTGCAGTTTTTTGGGGCTTGAGGCTCTCAGGGTTATAGGGTTAAGTTAAGGTTTGGGGTTCGTTGGTCCGAAGCGCTGAACCCTGCCAGGTCCGGTTCGCTGAGTGTCATCCGGTCCCTTCGCGGGCAGCTGAAGGAGGCTGATGGGCGAACTTTCTATTTAGTGGTCTTCGCTTGAAGTCCCTAAAGACCGATAGATAGTAGTGTTCTCTTCCTGTATATGCTGAAGTAGTACGATATATCCCACGGCCGCGTTCTACTTATTAGGTTCACCACGGCATGTACAGCCACGACGGGAAAATGCCCCCGGTTGGACTTGGTAAAGCTCCGACCGTAAGAATGCCTAGCCGCAGGAGCCATCCGATGCTCGGGAGTGAATCCGCAGATGCTTCATGATGGAACGTTGCGGATGGACTTCAGTTGCGGTTTTCAAGCTTACTCTTCCGAGATCCGATCTGGCCCGTTGCTCCTTGACACCTCGTCCAGCAGCAAGTGTTTCAGTCAGGTACTCCGCTCTCACAGGGAATCCTCCGACCCAGCTTCCCAGAAGCAGCAATCCTGTTCCTGACCTTCTCGGACCCCTGATCTCCAAAGCCCGAGCCCTAAAACCCGCAACCCTACATGCGGATAGAAAGGCCCTGGGCCCAAAGCCGAAAGCCCCAAAATCCCGCTACTGACCCGAACGCCCTAAAGTCCCTAAAGCCCCCAAGTCCCCCCTGGAGGTGCAGAAGCTTCAGCTACAGTGCAGCCTGGAGATCGGCAAGCTGGAGCGGCGGAAGTCGCCGGCTCTGAGTCGAGGGGAGCTTGGAGGTTTCACAGAGCTCTGTGAGTAGTTTGCTAAATTAGGGTCCCTTTTTAGGTTCCCAATATAATACGGCACCCTTATAAAAAGACCTAAAAAGGGACCCTAATTTAGAGAACTACCCTTGTGTAGGTGTGTTGCAAGAGTTTTATGAGGACATGTAAAGGTGTTGCAAGGGTTCTGTATAGGGTTGTGGAACGACTTTTCAGATGTTGCAAGGGACCATTTTGTGACTTATCCGGTTCGTAAGGTACCCTCCTTAAATAGTTATCGTGTGTGCGTTGGCGTGTCTGTGTGTGTGGGTATGAGTGTGTGTGTGTGTGTGTCTGTCTGCATAGAAAACAAAGCTCCCCAAGACCCCAGTATCATTATTTATCCTTCTATGTTAGTCTTCACGGTTGAAGGTTCTGAACTCCAGCGTTCGCAAGTGACTAGGGTTATAGAACTCAGGTTATTGAGGGTTGAGGTCTAGAGTGTGATTCACAGGAGTCCTATTGTAATTGTCAAGGTCCCCACATAGAATTATTGAATTATTTTGTTGACAACGATTGTTGCTTTCTGCTTGAAGGGTTCCAGGTCTGTAATTCGATTGCAGGACCATTGGGATGTGTTCGAGTATTTCGTGCTGTAGGATTTCAACGCTGAGGGCTGCTAAAGTTGGGCAATATGAATGCCATCTGTGGAATTTCTTGAAGATTGTGTGGTGGTGAAGGCAAACATCAATGTCGAGTGTCGCGTTATAGCCTTGCCGGATGTCGGCCGATATTCGTTCCGTCACCCCGTATTGACGTCCGGCTGGGCCTGGGCTCCCTAAACCTCCCGAAATCCATAAATCACCTGGGCCCCGAAGCCCCGGATGGCACGAACACCCTTTCCTGCCTTGATCGAGGCGTCGCGTGCACGATGTTCTGCAGCGCTTGGACTGCCTGGAGCACGTAAGGCTGGGTACTGTGGAGCTCAATTTGCAAGGCTGCTGCCAAGTTGTGCTACAACGTCTTATGACGTGCAAGCCTATGGCACGTCCTGACAGGTGAACCAAACCTATAGCTGTAGAGGCGGTGAAGTTTGCAAGCACAGAACTCGCCGACATTTGTGTGAAGATGCGACTTGACCTGAATTGTCTGCCACTCGACCACCGGCTGTCTGTCCTCGGCTGAGGCTGACCCCAGCTGCAAACCGGAGAGCAAACTCAAGCGAAATGCCCCTGACCGAAGCGATGTCATGTCTGATCAGTCCGGCCTCCAAGCTCTCTAAAAATATAAAAAATAAAAATAATAAAAAATAATAATAATAATAGTAATAATAATAATATAATAATAATGATAATAATAATAATAATAGTAATAATAATAATATAATAATAATAATAACAATAATAATAATGCTAATAATAATAATAATGAGTAATAATAAAAAAAAATATTGTTCTGTCAAGGCTGGTTTGAACAATTGCTTTTGGAGCTGCTGCTTGCGCAGGCAATGCCGACCGTCGATTCAGATGCTACTCCAGGCGGGAATCGTCGGAGCAAGAGGTATTCGTCGAAACACCCACTGTATCTGAAGAAGCTGAACCTGAGTCGCGACTAGCATAATAAACAATAAAAGCACATCGCAGCTACCAGCTACCAGTCTCCGACACCTCTGAAATCGCTTGGGCCAGTCAGATACTGCAGACTGTCTGCTGCTTTACACAGAGTCCGGTGCCCCATCCCGGTTTAGGGTTTAGGGTTTAGGGAACCCTAAAGCCTGAACCAAAACCCTAAACCCTAAACCGGTGGGGGCATGAGCTGGCCAGGGCCGTGACTTCATCACAGCACTGGACCTCATCGACAGTACGACCTCGGTGCCTTGGAGAAGTGTTTAGTTTAGGGCTCCAGGGGTTTATCGCTTTTGGAGTTTTGGGCTTTAGAGTTTCGGGCTTTAGGGGTTTAGGGTTTAGGGTCAGGTTCTCGTACAATGCCAACGCTGGTTGGTTTAGGGAGTTTAGGTAAGCATAGATGGTGATTTCAAGCTTCAGCAACTGGAGAATGGTTGCCGGACTGATTCTTCCTTTGCTTTTGCTAGTGATGCTGCAGGGCTCCGGCAAGTTTGCAAAGACATGTCGCAGAAGCACAAGCCGCCGCTCGACATGACCTTGTGCTTGCACGAGGATACGACCTGAGCCCCATTACGCTTCTTCTTACTGCCACAAATCTGACTGCCAAGCACTAAAGTGACGAGTGTCATGAAGGGCAAGGGCTTACTAGTAACACTACTACGACTTCTACTACTACTACTACTACTACTACTACTACTACTACTACTACGACAACTACTACTACTGCTACTACTACTACTACTACTACTACCACTACCGCTGCTACTAGCTGGTACTAAATGTTCCCAGCAACTAGCCCTGCTGCGACTGCAGCTCCAGCTACCCTTGAGGAGTTCGGGCGGATATAGGAGTTCAGGGGGTTTAAAACTTAAACCTGTGGGGTTTAAGGCTGGGGCTTTTGAAGCTCGAAACTTCTCGCCCTCCAGGAGTTCGGGCGGATGTAGGAATTCAGGGGGGTTTAAAGTTTTAAACCTTTGGGGTTTAAGGCTAGTGCTTTTGAAACTTGAGACTTCTGGGCCTTCAGGAGTTCGGGCAGATGTAGGAATTCAAGGGGTTTAAGGTTTTAAACCTTTGGGGCCAGGGCTTTCGAAGCTACTTCGCGACCTTCAGGAGTTCGGGCGGATGTAGGAATTCAAGGGGTTTAAGGTTTTAAACCTTTGGGGCCAGGGCTTTTGAAGCTACTTCGCGACCTTCAGGAGTTCGGGCGGATGTAGGAATTCTAGGGGTTTAAGGTTTTAAACCTTTGGGGCCAGGGCTTTTGAAGCTACTTCGCGACCTTCAGGAGTTCGGGCGGATGTAGGAATTCAGGGGGTTTAAGATTTGAAACCTTTGGGGCCAGGGTTTTTGGAGCTACTTCGCGACCTTCAGGAGTTCGGGCGGGTGTAGGAATTCAGGGGGTTTTGGGTTTTAAACCTTTGGGGCTTAAGGCTAGGGCTTTTCAGGAGTTCGGGCGGATGTAGGAATTCAGGGGGTTTAAGATTTGAAACCTTTGGGGCCAGGGCTTTTGAAGTTACTTCGCGACCTTCAGGAGTTCGGGCGGGTGTAGGAATTGAAGGGGTTTAAGGTTTTAAACCTTCGGGGTTTAAGGCTAGGGCTTTTGGGTCCAACTCTTGAGAGCCAAGCAGCTAATGCTCGATCTAGAGGTTTCATCATAGGTCTCCTGATTCTCGGCTTCCTCAATTTAGGCGTGCGGGATAATTAGTCGGTTACAGAAAGGCTTCGAGCCGGATTTTGAATTAGATTGAAGGATGGGTGCTTCTGAAACTTATCATCTACAGGAGCACACGAAGCCTGCTGCAATCATATTCCGACTCGCAGGTAAGCCTGCGAAGCTAGATCATCCCGGTCAAAAGCAGGCATACACTCTAGCTATACAAACCCCGGCAGTACCTACCTAGGTGTTGACGAAGTATGATATGGCTAAAACGAATGCCGATTCGCCTGCAGACCGGTAGCAGAAGGGAACTAATCACCTGAATGGGCACCGAGGCTGTTGCCCTGGATCCCACCGAGCCAACCAGCTGCTCGCTTTGCGGCCTCCCACCTGGGCGAAGCGATGCTTGGCCGAAGCATATAAGAGAATGACAATCGTGGGGCCGAGACCCCTCTGCGAGGCTGTCGAACTTGCACCAGTTCAGGTCTGCACCGAACTTTTTGTTCACCTAAGGTGTGGGTGCATCAAAGCAAGTTCTAGCATACAGAAGTACTACTACACACCTCCAACTATAATGCAACATGCTACTCATGTTGCTTGTGCCTGTAACAAGCAGGTATGCCACGGGTGTACGGGTTCGTATGATTATGCTGACTGACATGATACAGCATGCCTTAGATTATATACGTGTGCTTTCCAGGTCAATATTTCTATATATATATATATATACATGCATATAAGTATATATATATATATGTATATATATATATATATATATAAATATGCTACATATAGGGCCACACATATCGAGGGCTAGGCAACACCGGACAGAAGCAAAGCTGCTAGGGTTTAGGGGTTGCATAATTTCAATCTCAGCCGAGGTACACTGAAAAGATCCTTCGGCATATCATCCCAACTTGTGACAAGCACCCGCTTCACATAAAACTTGTTGCAGTTCAAGATCACATTGATGCCCTTGACCTCTGACTGGTGCTCAGGCGGGAGCTTCGCCTGGTCGTCGGCAGAGATGTACTTCGTGTAGCTCCTCAGCTGGGCGAAGGGTTTAGGGTTTAAATAAGCTTAAGGCTTAAGGTGTAATTGATGTTCACCACAAAGATCCACTTCATCCTATTTGCTCGCATACGAGAGTCTTTTGTGTGAAGTCCTTCAACTCAAAGCCAACACACAGTGCGGAAGCCGGTGTTGCAATAGGAAGCTCTTTCATGATGCGTCGCAAATTGCTTTCTACCTTGAGTCTTTCCGGCTCCGGGTCCTGGGCATCCTTGGTCGCTACGGCCTGGCCCGACTTGCCAGGTCGCTTGGCGGATTTCTTCGGCTTGGGGGACTGCTCTGGCTCTGTGGCGGATCTCTTCGGCGTGAGGGACTGCTCTGGCTTGGCGGATTTCTTCGGCTTGGGGGACTGCTCTGTGGCGGATTTCTTCGGCTTGGACTGCTCTGGCTTGGCGGATTTCTTCGGCTTGGGGGACTGCTTTGGCTTGGCGGATTTCTTGGGCTTGGGGGACTGCTTGGGCCTGGCGGATTTCTTTGGCTCCGGGGATTGCGGCTGGGGCTCAGCTTCCTCTTTCTCGGCCTTGCTGCTCTTGCTGGGCTGTGTGCCCTCAGCTGGCTCTGCAGCTCTCTTGCCACGACCCCGGCCACGGCCCCGCCCGTTGCTCCTCTTGCTGGGCTGTGTGCCCTCAGCTGGCTCTGCAGCTCTCTTGCCACGACCCCGGCCACGGCCCCGCCCGTTGCCCCTGCCCCTTTCTCCATTCTGCTTTGCTTTCTTCTTCTCTGCCTCGATGGTAGAATATTTAAGTAAATAAAAGACCACTTGTATCTATGATCACTGCAATGATCACCAGTTATCTATGTTGCCTGCCTGCTCTGCTTTCTTCTCTGCTTCTCTAAGTCGATGCTCAGCACGTGCCAGGGCTTGCAGTTCTCGCACAGAATTGAAATCTTCAGCTTTACCATCCTCAGCTTGACCAAGACCCATGTCCCCTGGACCTGGTAGCGTATAGCTAGCAATCGGCACGAGTGGGCCCTTTCGGTCCTGCACCAAAAGCACCAATAAAGTCTACATTTGGGCTACCATTTCACGATCTGCAGACATGTTCCTCAATCCGATCGGTCGCACTGTCCTTGAAAGCTCCATTGGTGGTAGGAGGATCCTCAATAGCTCCATTCGTGGTAAGAGGATTAGGATCCTCAGTAGCTCCATTCGTGGCAGGAGGATCAGGATCCTCCTCCAAAGCTCCATTCGTGGTAGGAGGATCCTCAACATGAGCTCGGTACGAACTCATCTCGGATTATGAACTGGGTTTCCCTAGCAGAGGCTGATGCAGCCTAGCAGCTGGCGTCGCCGGCGGCCGTGGCACCGGCGACAACTGAAGCAGCTCCTGGGAAGGGTTTCGGACTGCGTATTTTTCTTGCTTGCTCTAGACTAGAGGAAACACTTTTCTGCATGTGATGAAGCTTAAGTCCTGCTCCTTGCCGATATCTGCAAGGCTGCTGTCTGCCTCCCACACACAGAGAGCAGTAAACCCTAAACCCTAAACCCTTTATGGCCTAGGGTTTATAGGGATTGAAGCCCAATAACCCTAAACCATTAAACCTTTGGATTCTAAACCCTAAACCC